CGAGCTTATAATTGTTTGCATTACTCAAGGATTCCTCTTACTGTAGAGGCCCGAGTGCAAAAATCACAAGATTTAAAATATCACCCCATCCAACCTCCTACTATTCCCCTTGCAAACCACAATGGGATACTTCCAGCTTTAAATACTTGACTGTTAACCAGAAGATCGGTAGTCCAACCTACAGGCGAAACAAAAGATTTGGGCTTGGAAACCCTGTGGGTAAGTTCTACTCAGTCCTATAGAGTCATTATGATTGGAAACAACTAAACAGGCTTCTTTGTTGTTTTAATATATAGTATAGTACCTGCCTCTCTTCTTTAAAAGAATGAAGAGAATATGCTCCATTCTGGGTTTTTTTGTTAGTTTGTTTTTTACTAGAAGGTGGCCTATTACATGGAGGTAGAAGTGCCCTCTGGTCTCATACATAGATTTCGTCATCTGGTCTGATCTTCAAGTGGGGGAGCTATTGGAATCCTATATTTAACATGCTAGCCCATTTTGGTTTTCATGACATGCTAAACATTTCTAAATAGGACAGTAACCACCCCTTGAGAGGTCATGCTGCGTGCTGCTGTGGTATAGATATAGGGGTAGACGATACATAGTGTAGACAGATTTGTACACCCAAAGGCTCTGTTGAGGGTAGAGCAGGCAAGGCCAGGGAAACTGCACAAAGAGCAGTTCCTCCTGCGCATCCAGGTTGTGATCATTCAGCAATTAAGGATGAATTCCCGCAGCCACTATTGTCTGGGATATGTCTTTTGTCTAAAATAAAAATAATACTGATGATGATAGCATCTTTTGCATATAAAAGTATATACATAATGAGCATATCACCCTTCAGAGATAACCCTTTGATCACTAGAAAAGTCGATAAGACTTCATATTTTAAAACCTTTCAAGGGAATCAATCTGTTTTCCTCCTGTTTCCAAGCCTTCCGTAACTTTGGAGTCTGTTTGTATTAAGTAGGAAGGGTCATTTCTGTGGAACTAATCAAATGGGAATTCAATGTTCCTTGCAAGTAGTTTTGGCCATGTTCCACTAGGAACTTTCAAGTCTAAATTTTCATTTTTCCTGGGAAAGAACTCACATGTTCCCAATGTCCAGTCTTTTCGATACCTATTGGTGAAGGGAGCAGGGCAGCAAAATGGCAACACATGGAAGTCACGGTGACACGCATTCAGCGAGGCACTCCGATGGAGATTTTGTTACTAAAGTAGGAAATGGCAAAATATGCGGGAATATCAGTTCAGATGTAGCAGTAACCACAGAGAAACACTAATAATGCCATCCAGCATTTTATAATAATAATTGATGTTGTGATTTTGTGAAAAAATTTAATTTCTGGAGGGAAGAACTGGAAGATATCCAAAATTCTTCATGTATTCTTATAAATCTAGACATTAAAAATTCTACTTCGAAGAAAAATTCATGGTAGTGCTTTTGGTAAGAAGGAAATATTCATGTTAAATGCCCTGTATCATTTCACCAGGCTTTTTCAGTCTGTATTCTGAACAAATAGTACATGCTTTAAGAAATCCATATCCGGTTCCTCTTTCGGTCGCCTAAACTTTTCAAAAATAATCATAAGTATTATCCTGTCCTCAGCTTTGTGTTTCATTTCAGTTTTTTATTTAACAAGATATAATTACTTTTATTGATTTTTATGTCAGTTGCGTTTTAAAAACGGAATAGCCTACATCGCCTTTCTACCATAGATTATCTTCTTATATCTCAGCAACTGAGTATAAAACTGACAAGGTTTGGGTCTGTATTGCTTAGAGTCCTGTCTGGAGCCCTTGGTGGGATGCTTAATTGAAGGTATCAAGTGGCAAGTAGACATGCAGGATAGAGCAGGTAGCATGGTTTGGACAAAATGAGGGCACATTGAAGCCACTAGGATATTTGCTGCATGAAGCTATAGGGTAGCAGGAGTCCCAAAAGGAAGACAGGCATTACAGAAAGACCTGAAAACTAGGTGAACAGCACCCTCACTTAAAACCAAGGCTTATGGAAGCCGTAGTCAAGAGATCAAACAGCACAGGGCATTGGGCATATCTGCTGCACACACAGATTTGAGTAGAGCTGTCATGCTGAGGATTAAGGCATGCTTGACCCAAACGTGGTTCTTTCAATTATCTTGTATGCATGTGAAAGATGGACAATGAATAAGGAAGCCCACAGAAAAACTGATGCATTTGAATGATAGTGTTGGTGGAAAATGTTGAAAGTACCATGGAATGCCAAAAGAACAAACAAATCTGTCTTGGAAGACATAGAGCCAGAATTCTGAAAAACTAGATTGGCTTTGAACATCTTATCAGGAAGGACCCGTCGCTGAAAAGGCACATCACGTATGGTAAGGTTGAGGGAGGGTCAGGCCCTCAAGGAGATGGGTGGACACAGCGGCTGCAACAATGGACTCGAACAATTGTGACAATGTCACAGAACCGTGCCCTGTTTTGTTCTGTTGTACACAGGGTTGCTGTAAGTTGGAGCAGACCTGATGGCCCCTAACGACAAGAACAACTCATTAAAGAAACAAAAGAGAAGCACGTGTTCCTTAGAAAGCTCTGATTATAAGGTGAATCCTAGATTTCAGGAGGATTCCCCTCATTCTCAGAACTGGGTAGAGGGGCTGGATGGGTAAGCAATAAGGCTTATGCTGAACCTTTGCTGAACCCTTTCTCTCCTCTGGTAGTCAGGAATTTGGTAGACTAAGTTTGCTTATGTGACCAACTCCCAGTAAAATTCCTAGGCACCGTGTCTGTAATGTGTATTAGCTTCTGTGCTGACGGTCCATTGCTAAGAAAAGTGGCTGCGTCCCATGTGACCCCACTGGAACAAAATACTTACAAGCATAGGTCACGTTTTCTCTGGAAGGATCCCTGTGTGCCTTTTTCCTTCGCAGATTTTGAGTTGCATCCTTCGACTAAAACAAAACCGTAGGCATGTTGAGTACCGTTGAGTACCATGAGTCCTGCTGGGTACTCTGGGCATGGATGTGATCATTCCATGACACCTCTCTCAGATTGGTTGTTGTTATGTGCCATCAGGTCAGTTTGGACTCACAGTCACCCTACACGTAACAGAAGGAAACATCGCTCAATCCTGCACCATCCTCATAAGCATCGTTAGTTTGAACCCATTGTGGCAACTACGAGGATTTTTTTTTACTGCCCCTCGGCTTTGCCAAGCATGATGCCCTTTCGCAGGGATCAGTCTCTCCTGATAATATGACCAAGGTACGTGAGATGAAATTTCACCATCCTTACCTCTAAGGAGCATTCTGGCCATATTTCTTCCAAGACAGAAACCACCAATCTTTGTCGTCACCACAATTCAAATGCGTCTAGTCTTTCTTCAGTCTTCCTGATTCGACGTCTCCCTTAGGCCTCAGAGCAAGAGCCTTGCTTTTCAATACTCTAGAGTGGCCTTTGCAGCAGATGAACCCAATCCAATTTGCTGTTTGATCTCTTGCCTGCTGCTTCCATGCGCATTGATTATGGATCCAAGCAAGACGAAATCCTGGACAATTTCAACCTTTTTTCCCATTATCATGATTTCCCTTTTTCCCATCTCCATTTACCTATTGGTCTAGATTTGAGGGGTTTTGTTTTCTTTACCTTAAGTTGTAGATACATTTATATTGACAGATAAATTACTCTTAAAAACATGTTTAATTTCCAATGATGAAATTACATGCAGTGGCATCACCAGGAGGTGGCAGGGATGCATAATGCGTCCCTGATACTGTCACAGGAGGTAAAGCCAAAATGAACCCAAAGGCCATGGCTGTGTGGCAGGAGAGCCATCATCTCAGGGGAAGAGGCTTCCAAGTCAAGGGTGTCACTAGGGATGGTGTCACTTGTCATCCAGTTCAGTAACTCATCACTTCCCAGTCAGGATGTGGATGGGTGGGTCAGGATACCTGCCACTAGAGGGGGCTTGCCTTGGCCAATGGGTAAGGGGAGAAGCTACAGTGAATTGGGAGGAAGGGTGGAGCAGAGTTCAAGTCCTATTGCTCCGTCTGCATAGGGAGAAACTGCGGCGGAACGCTCCACACCCGAGAATGGGGCTCGTTGTCTGGCCCTTCCTCTGAGGAGTGAGGCCGTGATTTACTGCACTGAGCGATGCCAATCCTAGGATCCCATGCCCCTGTGAATATGTGCATATAATACTTTTATTTTTCCTTGTGGCTGAAAAAGAAATGCATACCTTATGTCTTCCTATGAACACAAAACAAATATTTTCAAAGAGTGTTTTAAAGAGCTTAAAAAAGAACACATTGCTGTAGAGTCAGTTCTGACACATGGTGATTTCATGCATTACAGCGTCGTGCCAGACAGCAGTCTGGACTGTAATCCTGACAGTAGGAGGTAACAGGGACCTCCTTTCAGAGAGCCCCTTGATAGACTTAAATCACCAATCTTTAGGTTAGCAGCCAATTGTAAAACATTTGTGTCATTCAGACTCCTGAACCCTGATTAAGTAAGCAATAAAGTGGAAGCCTAATTAAGTAAGCTATAAAGATGTAAGGAATAAAGTATTAGTCTAGAAAATAACAATGCACTTGCTAACTAGCTTCTGTTTAAATTAGAGTAAAAAGAATTGTTATTTCTCTGAGACTCTGCCTCTAGAGCTCTCTGGCAAGATACAGAGCGATGACAGTGTGTGAAAGCCCTCTCAGCAGTTCCTCCTTGCAGCCTTGAGCTACACATTGCCACACATACCATGGTTCCCATGTCAGCATCTGATGAATGCAAGACGTTTTCACAATCGGATTGCTTACTCTGTGCATTTTGTCCACAAAAACACAGGAGTTGCCAAGATGCACGAGGAGCCTTTCCTAAATCATTCCCAGTGTCACCATGACCACAAACGTTTCCTAAATTAGAACTTTCTCTCTCTCTCGAGAATATAAATCCATTTGAGTGCTTGACTCCATGTAGCTTACAAACAAAGTTTTGTTTTCACATATATAAATTATTCTTCACAGGATCGGACCAATATGGCAACTACTCAATGTAAATGTCAATACTGCATGTCACCACTGCTTGGGAAGAAGTCTGTAGTGAAGGGTGACACCCTGTGCTGCGTCGCATGCTATGAGCGTATCTTTGCTAACTACTGCGAGGGCTGCAAAGAACCTATTGACTCTGATTCCAAGGTAGGTCTCAGTGCACAGAATGTTGCCTGCAATCCATAATTCCATTCTTCGACGTACCTTTCCCCCTTTGGGCTATTAACACTCTTTCTATTGCTCTAGCACTATATGAACTCAGAAGTTTTCTGTTCATCAAGTTACAGCACTGTGCTTAGCACCATGAATTGCAATCTATGCTTTCATTCTTACAAAGAATGTTGAGGTTGTTAGGTTGCTAAGATACAAGGTGATTAAGTTATATACCCTAAGTTGTACAGCTAACACATGTAGTTAGTTTTGAATGGCAAGAATATCTAAATAAGTATGTAGATAATCAGAGGGGTCAAGATTCAAAATGCGTGTTTTCTGATTTCATAAGCAGCCTCACCTCTCACACAAAGAGCTCATGTTCCCTACGATTATCATATCTCCTTCTCTTTTTCTTTGTCTCTCTGATCTTGCTGCGGGTAGGTAGGGTTTGGGGTTTGGTTGTCTAATAATGTCTCATAATATGGAAACTTAAAAACAAAAATCATTCCAGGAAATCTCTTTTGGAGTCTACAGAAAGAATGTAGGAGGCATTTGAAGAATTAGAAAAGTGTCCATTGATTTTCCAGCTACTTTTAGTGACCAATCAAGAAAGCTCCAGACTCTCCCTCATAATTAACCTGAGTCCCTTCTCCAAGGACAACTATATCAATGACAACATCCCCTCAAGCTACCAGCACAACCTGCTGGGGCCTGGGGCCCCGGAGTGCTCAGTGTATCTTATAAAACAACCTGGTTTGTGACCAACACATTTAATTCACTTTTATTTACTCTCTCAAAGGATCTGTGTTACAAAGGCCGACACTGGCATGGAGGATGCTTCAAGTGTGCCAAATGCAACCAGTCTTTGGTGGAAAAGCCTTTTGTGGCCAAGGATGAGCGCCTGCTGTGCACGGAGTGCTACTCCAACGAGTGCTCCTCCAAGTGCTCCCACTGCAAGAAGCCCATCATGCCCGGTGAGCGACGCGCACGCCATGCCCGGCCAAAGAGGATTCATGAGTTTCATTAGGTCCAAGTACACGAAGAGCGTATCAGCTCAAGAAACTCAAATGTGGAGAAAGATATCTCTCTCTCTCTCTCTCTGTCTCTCTCAGCTGTCTCTTGAATTTAGCGTATTTTAGAAACAAAAGATTATTCTATGGTGAAAAGGTAAACTAGAGCTCTCTTTTTGTGAAACCTAATTCACATAAACACTTTAAACACTTGGACCCAAAATTTGAACCATAAAATAAATATAAAATTTCTACCAACAATTCTAAGTGTAAATTGAACCAGGTCCATGAATCTACGTATCACCAAAGACAGAAGGAAGAAGCTTGCATGATAGGGGTGAGACTAACAATCTTCTGATAGCTTGACACCCACTGGCTTGAGGGTCAGGCATTGTTACTCCCTTCAGGGAGTCTGAAAAAACAAACTCACTGCCATGGAGTTGATATCTGCTCATAGTGACCCTATCGGACAGGGTAGAATGTCCCTACGGATTGCCAAGACTGTAACTCTTTACCAGAGTAGAAAGCACTCTCTTTCTCCTGAGGCGTGACGTGGTTTAGAACTTCTGGCCTTGTAATTAGCAACTCAACATGTAACTACTACACCACCAGGGATTTTACAGCAGACTAAGACCTATGTGAATGCTACCACATGATTCTGTCTTATTTCCTTATTATGTATTTAAATCTACTAGACCATAATTGCATAACATAAATCTCAGGAGCTTGTGCCTCAGTTTGTGCATCACTAACATGCCTGGCCACTACTCATCTGCCAGTCTGTCAGACTTAGGTGACTTGCTTGTTGCGTTGGTGCTGGGTGCTGTGCCACTAGTGTTTCAAACATCAGCAGGGTCACCCTTTTCCAATCACTACAAGGCCGGGGCTGATTATGGAACAAATCATTAATTACTCATATGCAAGTTCAAGTTGAAGATTTTTAAAGCCAATTAAAACCTTGATTATACATTACCTTAATTTAGAGACCATCACAAGAATAGATTGGACAAGGACCAGATGAGTTGTGAGATGATATCAAAAACACCAGACATGAAGGAACGAAAAGGTCATTCAAAGACAGGAAAGAAAGGAAAGGCCCAAATGGGTGTCAAAAAGAGACTCTGAAATTTGTAACTGAATAGTAGCCTAAGCGAATGAGAAAAATGCTGAAGCAAAAGATCTAAAAAGGTGGTTTCAAATGGCGGTTCAAGAAGTATTGAAATGTGGAAAGGACTGGAGTCGAAAAACCAAAAGGGATGAATTCACTCAGCATTGCTCAAACTGAAAGAACTTTAGAAAAATTCAAGATTTAAGTAAAATATTGAAAGATGCAGGAACTACATTTTTTTAAATGGAAGGAGTATACAGTCATTCTACCAAAAAGAATTGGCTGGCATTCAACCCTTCCAAGAGGTAGTTTATGATCAAGAAACCCAAGTATCCAAAGAAACAGGCCAAGCTGTACTGAAAGCACTGTAGTAAAACAAAGCTCCAGAAATTGACAGGACACCAGTCACAACGTTTGAACAGAGGGACGCAGTGCTGGATATAAGATACTCTACGCCAAGAAAGTTGGGAGACAATTAGTCACCTGGCCAGCAGACTGGAAGAGATCCATATTTCTACCCACTCCAAAGAAGGTGTCCAACATAATGTGCAGATTATAGAATACTACCATTAATATAACAGAAACGTTAAAAATTGCTGAAGATAATTTAAAAATGATTGCAGCAGAACGATAAAGACTCCCCGATATTCCTACCTGATTCAGAAGATGACCTGAAACATGCAGGACATTGCTAATACCAGATGGACATTGACTAAAAGAAAGATGATTAGCTGTGTTTTTGATTATGCAAAGATATGTACATCTTATTATGGATAAGATTGAGGAGAATGGGGACTCCAGAATGCTTAGCTGTGCTCATGTGGACCTGTGCAACATAGACCAAGAGGAAGCTGAAATAAAACACAACGATTCTATGTGGTTTAAAGTCAGAAAAGTATGCATTATTGTTGTATCTTTTCACCATATTTATGCTATTTCATTTTTTTAATCATTTTATTGGGGCTCATACAACTCTCATCACAATCCATACATACATCCATTGTGTCAAGCACATTTGTACATATGATGCCATCCTCATTCTGAAAACATTTTCTTTCTCCTTGAGCCCTTGGTATCAGCTCCTCAT